AGGTTGCTCCTCCCTTTGTTTAGTCCATCTTCACCACACTCTTTTCTGATAATCCTCTCTGCCTGCTGACACAGCCCTACCAGGCATAGGGGGCTGGTTCTATAATTTTAGCTTTGTAAATAATTCCAGCACTATGACACATACATGTGTAAAATCTGCAACTTTGAAAGTCACGGCTTTGGGACACACTAAGACATGGTATGGAAAAAAAGAAAGGGAAGTGAATAGAAGGGAACAGTAAACCAGGAAGTGTTTCTTTTGTATTTTTGGGGGTCCAAAATCTCCCTCTGGCACAAGCTGTGTATGACATTCAATAGAAAAGGAGCTTTGCAACCCTTTGGGAAAATGAAAAATCTACTTAGGGATTGTTTGTGAGCAAAATCAAAACTTAAAAGACATAAAAAGAAAAAGGCTCCAGTTTTAAAACTTCAATGTTTTAGAGACTAATAAATGGCTGTCCATTTTGAATAGGTTCCAGTACTGACGTGTTGTCTCATCAGTAAATAAAGATGTTAACAGTTTACTTTTCTTGACAATTAACAAATTGTTTTTAAATATCAAGACCAAATGTTGGCATTCTTAATAAATCTCTGCATCAAACAGGTGCCCACAAGATACACTTGCCAGACTTAAGTATATATGAAAGCCAATATAAATACAGTTATCATAGTGCTTTCTGTACTTAGAGCCAAATTCAACACTGATGTAATATCTCTGAATAAAGTTATGTATTCTTAATGATGAAACAGCCTCTTCCTTTATAAAAAGCTTCCATAATTCAAATACAATACTGCTTTTGTTTTCAGATATCATGGGAGTAAATGCTTTTCACCATCCAAATTCATTTAGCAAAGTGGCTTGTAGTTCTAGGTGAAAGCATGTTCTTTGTTATGAAGGAAAATGCAAAGAGAGCCTTTCCTAATATGAAAGGGAATACCCTTCACATGCTTAAAGTTGTACTTATGACAAATTCCAAAAGATATTTCCTTATCCTGGAAGTCAAACTTCTGGTGGATGCTTTCTCTGGGACTAAAATTTAACTTCAAATGGAAAAATACTTTGCAGCCAAAAAAAAAAAAAAAAAAAAAAAAAAAAAAAAAAAAAAAAAAAAAAAAAAAAAAAAAAAAAAAAAAAAAAAAAAAAAAAAAGAATACATTTTAAAGTAGCTGATAGCCTTCTCAGTAAAAATCTAATCTAAATCTAAAGGAAATTTAGAAACTAAAAGGACTGAGATGCAGAGGTTTAAGAAGAATGAGGCAGGCTGGGGCCACCAAAGTATCTATGGTGGCTAGCAGGCCCAGGGGGTTGATTGTGCCCTGTGCTCCACTCTGGTGAGATCCCACATGGAGTGCTGCATCCAGCCCTGGGCTCCTCAGAGTAGGACAGATGTGCTGGAGCAGACGAAGAAGAAGGCCACAAAGCTAATCAGAGGGATGGAGCAGCTCTCAGAGAGGTGGGGCTGCTGTTCAGCCTGCAGAAGAGAAGCTCTGGGGAGACCTGGGGGCAGCCTCCCAGTACCTAAAGGGGGCTTTTAAGGAAAATGGGGACAGACTTCTTAGCAGGGCCTGTTGCAATAGGACAGTGGATAATGGTTCTAAATTTTAAAAGGGTGGATTTAGACTATATATGACAAAGAGGGTGGTGAGGCACTGGAACAGGTTGCCCAGAGAAATGGTGGATGCTCCATCCCTGGAAACATTCAAGGTCAGGTGGGACAGGGCACTGAGAAACCTGATCTAGGTGATGGCCCTGCTTGATGAAGTTGGAGGTTAAACTAGGTGACCTGTAAAGGCCCCTCCCGACCCAAACTATTCTGAGATTCTATTATCTAGTGGTAGATGTTCATAGCCTATACTCAGAGAAACTGTAGATAAGTTGTGGCTGGGGACAGTTCAGACAGATGGCCTTTGCAGGACACATATGTTGAGGACATCTCATCCTCCACATTAAAAAAAAATTACATTTGCTGTATCATGTGTTATTTAAAGATATCGAGGATTTTTTAAATTTTGCTTACTCCTGCCTCTGTCTCCCTGTAGCACCCAGGTATTTCCCATTTCTGGTCTCTTAACCCTTTCCAGAAGCTACAAGCTATTCCATTCCCCCCACAGCTATCACTTAGTCAGCTTAAGTGATTCCATAATAGAATATATTAAAATTCTTATCTTTGAGCTGCCCTGATGTATCATCATACAACAGGATCTGTCACTATGTTTGAACATCCTTATTTAATATGTTAGGATGTTATCTGCAATGTGTCATATCTCTGTCTCTGGCTGTACCCTAATACATGAGGAAAAGCAGCAGGAAGAAAACACCCAGGCTGAGCAGGAGTGGAAGAACAAATCCTGAAAAAAGCACTGGGAGTTTGACAGAATTCACAAAAGAAGGTGTAAAATATTTTCCAGTAGAGTAACATTTGGATTCTATGAACTTCCTCTTTCTCTTCACTGTAGGAGGATTGAGATGATTCAATAGCAGCAGTATTTTTAAAAGTGCTTTGTAAAGTAGCATTTAAAAATTTGTATAATAGTCTTGAAAGTAGTGTATGAGTGCGCTTTGTAGCAATACTCAGTGGTGCACTCAGAACAGAAACTGAATATCCAGCAAATTTTATCATGCAATTAAATGTTATTTGGCTACATTCCTGATATTCCTTATTTTCTCTTTGCTGAAGAGTAAAACATGCAGTAATCAGTGCCAGCTATAGTGGTCTCACCCAGATGTGTGCAAAATGTAAACATGAAATTAACATACCTTAAAATGTTGGACCTTTTAAAACACTATGTTAATTAATTTTAAATTGGGATAAAAAATCCCTCTGTTCAGGAAGAAATCGATCAGTTACTTGTACTAAGAGAATGAAGGAAAGAAAGAAAATAAAAGGTCATATTCTCACTAAATATAGTGATTACTGAAGCTTTACTGATCTGTTTTTACTCAAATCAGTACTCCAATATTTTTAGGACAGTGGAAAACATGAGATTACCAGGAAAATTCCTTTGGGCCTTGTTTGTAGGTTTGGTATATTTAGGTAATAGCAGAGATAAAAGAAAACATGTTCTGATAACTCAATTTACACGTGAATTAATCAAATGCACACATTTATATTTAAAATAATCAAGTGTTAATTGTCAGAATTAATGCCATTTTTTGTAAATGTGAAGGGTAATACACCAAACAAGAGTTTTGGTTGCATGGATTTAAGTACCTAGCAAGACCTTGGAAACTCTCAGAGATGAGCCAAATGGCAGCAATAAAAACAAGCACTTGACATGGCATCTGTCTGGTAAATATGGATGTTTGTATGCTCCATCTTGTCAAGGGAAAATAATTACTGTGTTCAGAGGTAGAGATGTGCATGGGCATAAACTTCAATGCTGTTTGAAAAGCAGGGATAGAGACAAGAAAGCACTTTCTTCCATGAAGGAAGCAAGGCCTGTGAAGAGAATTTTTATGTAAAGAGAATTGGTTTTGTGGCAACTTCCATCTGGAAAACAGTGCTCCCCTAGTCTGAGAGGATGATCCTCTATAACCCCCAGGATTCTTCCATAAGAATTCAGCAACACTGAAATTCATCCTCCTCTATGTCATTTTTTACCACTGAATCAATTTGGAACCAGAAGGCCCAGGATATTTATTACTTCTCTTGGGAAAGATATTTAGGATATGCCTAGTCTAATAATCCTTACTTTCTCTGGGATTGGAAAAGGCTGGCCTGTACCTCTGGACCAAACCATATTCACTATTCACCAGCTTTGTAATTTTTCTTACATTAAGTCTCAGCCCACTTCTTTCATCTTAGCCAAGTAAGGGAAGACTTATCAAGAAGATTGCTTTAGATTCTAATTTAGAGTACTCTAGGTTCATACTCTTCCTCCCCACAAGAACCATCAAAAATGCAATTTTTTCTGTGCTCTGGTACTTGCTATATGCAAAGTGTGATTTTCAATTCATTAATATGAGGGCAAATAACTAGATTACCATGACTTCAGAGTCATATTCATGATCATGGTCATTAGATCAGAGTTACCTTCTAGACTAACATTTACATTGTTCATCACATGTGGCAGGTTTGGCAGAAACTTTTGTCTACATGTTCATAAACTACCAATGCCAGGAAATTACTGTGGTGTTGAGATATACATGCCATAGGAATATCTAATTTTCTATTTATAAGCAAGCTGTTTTCCCATGCAGCTTCAAGCTACAGCTCATATAGACTGAATTACAGGACATAGATTATGCAAAGAAAATATTATTTTAAAAAAATAATAATATAAATTTCTTCCTATTTGGGGTAACTTCAAAGGTCCTTCTGATGAGCCCTTGTCCTCTCCATCACTCCCAGAGCTTGTCTCACATGCTCTAATAACTCAATATCAAATCATCAGCACTTTTACACAGGGTTTTAATACCAGCCAACAAACCAGATCAGGAGTATGCTACAATGCTGCTGTGACAACTCTGGAACAAGCAGAAAGCATTTGTAACACTTGGCTACCACCTCTTCCTTCACCCCTTGCTTCTCTGCCACATGGAGATTTGTGCAAATGGGGGGCAGGAAGACCATGTTTAAAACTACAGCTCCATCCATATTCATCCAGAAGACACATTTTTATACATACTGGATTTTTTTTTTTTTTGCTTTATTTTATTTTGCCAGCACTCTGTTAGATGTAGTTCTGATTATAACCTGACCACCAAGCTCCTCAGACTGAACTCCTGCACCGATTAAAAGTAAAGGCAGTATGTTTATGAAAGCCAGCAAATCTGTGAGTCAAAAGAAGACACCTTACCAAAGGGTCAGAATTTGATATAAGGAAGAAAACATCCAAAAGCATGGAAGAAATGCTACTCCTTTGGTAAAGGGATTCTGTTGCTGATACAAATCGAAGATTAATAATTCATTTCTTACAGACTTTCTACTCTTGAGTCTAAGGAGGTAAAATAGTTTGAGAGCCCCACAAAGGCAGGAGAAAATATTATATATTTCCTACCTTCTGTGCAATTCAAACCAATTGGCTTCAGTAGGGTGGAAAGACCTCCCAGGCTCTTGGCTGGAAATAACTTTGAACGCTCAATACAAAATTTAATATCTATTAGCTGGGAGAG